AGTTTATGTTGAACCCAGTCAAGTGTAAAACCTTATTTTTCATATTTCTGCTTTTATTCAACTGCAGTTTAAAAATATGTAATATAGTAGTTCACTGTTAGACTGATCATTAAATGGTTAAACAGTGGTAACTTGCACACTGCCACTTTCCCATTACTTTTTTTTTCTTTTTGCCTGTCCTGTTCGGTACTTTAGCATCAGAATTGTTGTCTGAAGGCCAGGAAAGATGCGCAACGGACTGATTTTCTCAAGTGGAGAAAATATGCCAATGCCAAATTTTTTCACTTGATTAATCTATATTATCATTGTTTATTTTATTTTATTTTATTTTAAGAAATTACAAATTGGACAGACAATTAGAAAGAAAGAAAGAAAGAAAGAAAGAAAGAAAGAAAGAAAGAAAGAAAGAAAGAAAGAAAACAGAGGGGAAGGGGGCAGTAAAAGAAGACACTGAGAAAAAAAAGGAGAAAACAAATGAGAGAACAACACAATATAGAGACAACAACCTAGATACGTGTAAGTAAAAGTAAATACTAAATATTGAATGTTATTGAGCAGCACACAGGTCCGACAGTGTACAATATGCTTTAATGTAGCAGCCAAGGAAGATATAGTTTGTGTCTGTAAGCACTCACGTGTACACCTGTGTGCGTGAGCGCTTAAGTTCAAAAGGTTTCTTATGCAACGATCTCCTTTGTTATTTTCTTTTTCAGCAAATCTGTGGTAGCGATCACTCTCCAGCTTTATCCAAGATTTAACAACTGGACAAATGGCCTCGTGTTCATCTTTGGAATATTTTGGGTATAAAGAGAAATTCATGGTCGACATCATGCCTGCAACCTGTCCATTCCTGTAAAACAAAGCCCAAATAGTCATTCTTCCACCATCATTTGATATGCTGTGTTTGGTTTTCTCCAACACACTGCTGTGCATTACAGCCAAACTTTTTAATAAGAAGCTTTCTCCCGGTAACCTTTCCTATCAGTGTACTTGGACTGTAGAGTCTTCAGTATATATATCTTACAATCAGAGATGGGCTTACTGTAATCCGATTACTTTTTTCAAGTAACGAGTAAAGTAAGGGATTACTATTGCAAAAACGGTAATTAGATTACCGTTACTTTCCCGCAGGAATGCTGCATTACTGCGTTACTAAAACCGTGATTTTTTTTGCGAGAATGTCTCACGACAGTGACGTAAGCGAGTGCGACGTTCGTGACAACAGCTGTGTGCAGATCAACAATGGATAATAATATCGAGTGCGGGAGAGAGTATGAGCGTGCAGCATTTAAAGCGTGGAAGTACTGACCTTACTTTGAGTTTGATTCCATAAAAAGTGACAAAACATTAGTGTCCGTTGTGTGTGGGAAGAAAACTTCTTTTTACAGTGAAAAACTCCCTAAACTTCCAAGCAAGCACCGAGTGCGCTACCACGTAATGGGAAATTCACAGTAATTAGTTACTGATTACTTGACCAACACTGCTTACAATAACATCACCTTCAGTGCATCCTGTGTTGAACATGTGCCGTTTTAGCTCTTTATGAGACTCTTGTGGTCACAGCAAACGCTGGTTTCCTGAGATGACCATATTAGGGAAATCACCTCCCTCTGATCTCAGACAGAGCAAAGAGCAGAAAAGAAACTATGTTTAAGGGCATTTTACAGCATTTGGCATCATTTGGCAGCATTTGTTTAATATGAGCATCCGCAGTATGTGTAATAACAGAAAATGAGCAAAAGCGGAGAAAGTCAACTTGGCAATTTTCCAAAATATTTGCCCTTGTAAATGCTTCCACCTTCAAAGGTGGTCTAACTTTTGAAAATGTCTTTTCAAAAGTGAGTTTTAGAAAATATATTCACAGAGAGCTGTCGTCACTCTTTACAGGATCCAAAGACTTTCCAAAACCAACCCTCCAACACAGCAGCACAAGCAGCATTAAATATTTTCCACTCAGCTATCAGTCGTGTGGTGTGACACCTCTCCCACAGTTTGAAAGGAAGTCACAGCCCACTCTAACTGATAACAGCAAAACATGTAAGGGTTATCCTTTTAATCACCTGAGCTTACATGGCACTGTGCAGATTTCTCTTTTCCTTTTAAACAAACAACCTTTATTTGTCACATACACAATCATACAGACTACAACATGTAGTGAAATGCTTGGTGTCCGAGCTGCAGACAGGCTGCAGACGTAGCCGTGCCATGGAGACGTTTCCTCTCCACCACAAGACATTTGTCATGTGTGGTCTTCCTCCTTGTCAAAAATGTTCAGTTTGAAGAAAGACCATATTTTAAAAAGAACAAAAAATTAAAAATACACAAGAATATTTAGTAAAATAATCCAGATTTTGTTTATCCATCTGTCCATCCCAAACTCCTCCAAGCTCTGCCTTTGAGACACTGTAGGTGACTTATATTCCTATTTTAAATTGACCTAGAGGACATTTCTGGGGCATTTGCTGAAACTGAAGGTCTTTTGGAAAACCTAACTTTGTTTTGCTGATTATGAGCAACACTTTTCACTTTTAACAGTTTTCCCAAATATGACTCCGATCTCTGGTACAATATGTTGACAGAGATTCAAATCTAAACAAGAAACAAAAAAGAACATTATGCGTCTGATGTTTGATTATCAATCATCAGGTGTTGAGTGGCACAACAACACTGAAAAGACCTGTGATCCATAGCAATCCTTTCTCTGTTCTCAGTCATTCGCTGCTGCTTCTACTTTTTTTTAGTAAAGATAACAATGGTTCAAAGTGCCTGCCATGAAGAGTATACCCACAGGAAGTGTTGTGCCTCCACAGTCTAATAAAAGAAATGAAACCAGCAGCATGAAAAAAGTAAAAGCGTGAAATGTATTAGAAAGTTTACGTCAACAATGAAATAAAGTAAGACAGGTCATTAGTCTGAAAAAACTCAAGGCTCAATCCTGCACTCCTGCCAGCTGTTCATGAGTGAACTCGATTAAAGCTTAAAGTACTTATGAGAACCTGAGCCTTAAAAATTATGCATTAATCTTAAACACAGGCTTAAAAACTCTGCGATAGGCCCTGAGAAGATGATTTATGTGTGTGTGTGTGTCCTTATCACCGTGTTGGATGCAACACATAAGTATAAATCCCTTGTGAAGTTTGGCTAATTTACCTAGTGTATATCAAGCCAAATGTTATAGTTTAATATAAGATATCTATCCACTCTAGTCAGTTCATCATGGCAGGGTAAACCGTTCATATGTGCGTATAAAAAAAGTTTAATTTGATTCAATTTCCTCTATATACACACACACACCTACGCATATCTATTTTTGTGTTTTTATTTTGGACTTTACTGGGGTAGTTCAAAATCATTGTTATTTATCGTATACTCGACCTTGATGCAGCCTGTCAAATTCACCCTCATCTGCATCAAACATCTGTTTCAGTTCCTCTTTCCTTAAGATAATATCTTCATGATTGGCTGCCCTTTACAAACAGAAGGTTTGATAAGCAGGTGGGTGGAGCTCCTCTTGCAGAGTTATCATGTTTCTCAAGAAGCACAAACCGATCAGCCAAGGAGCAGCCGTTGGCTTGCGATGTAAACTACATAAGAGGCTGATGCCATTGCTAGCATTCGTGACTGAGCATGGGTTTAATTGCATTGTGGTTGTGTCCTAGTGTTTCATGTGGTGCCAGTGACAATAGAAACAAGTACAATTATGAGACTTTTTCTCTTTATTCACTGCTCTGCTTATCTGACAGCTGTGCGTCCTTATATTAAAGCTATGGCTGGCGATGTGTCACCATAGACGGTACTGATTGATGGTGCTGAGCAGGCTAGTTGCCGAGTGCAGCGTGAAATTTCCATGGAGATGCATCGCAGGTTAAGCTGCAGGTTTTGTCACAGCATTTCAAAAGGGGTGTGTGTTTAGGTATAGGGTTTGTGGAAGGTTTAACACAGAAGAATAAACCCCCTGTAAGTTTGTGCCCATCAAAGAGAAAGAGGTCAGCGATGTGTGAGAACATTTGACCGGTCAAATAAGTCTGACAACACACTAGGAAATATTTAATAGTTGATGGTGCTCGTTAATCTGAAAACTCCTCTCTGCCCACTGCTTTTATGGAAAGTTGCACACAAATTTTAAAACGTGTAATGTCTGACAGGAGAGCCAAGCTAACACTAAATGACTTTGAAGGTAGGAAGGGTCCAGTGAAAATCATTTTTCAAGGTGCATTTTCTTTACATTTCACCTGACACTCAAAATTCTAGTGTTATAGTAACGTTACTATAACACTAGAATTTTGATTAAAACATGATTTAAATGATTAAATCATGATATGCCATATACAGTCACTTTATCAGAAATGTTTTGGTAGCAGAGGAGCATGCTGGGAAATGTATCACTTATACTTCCGCACCTTGTTCCTTGTCAATTTGTGCAAAATGTCTGCAACCCCACACACCTCAACTATGTTCCTCTTATGGAGAGGTTATCCGGTAGTGCTGCATTTTAATTGTGTTTAGCAAGCAAAGCAAAAATGTGCCTGTCAAAAGAGGAAGGAAAGAAGAGAGCAGGGTGAGGACAGCACCAGGACGTGAGATCTGAGCAGTGCAAGGCCTGAACGATGAAGCTCAGACGGCTGCGTAGCAATGAACCATTGTTACCACTTACATGTTAAACACGTGCACTCAAACTGCAACATGAGTGTGTGCATGTAGCAGCTGCTCCAGTGGAAACAAGCACTGAGTGAGGAATTTTCTAAATGAGAGTACTTGTTGTATGCTGACTCATCATGTCAGTTTGTGTTTTATTATGACTATATGCTGCTAGTTTTTGATTTATAGTGTGTGTGTGTGTGTGTGTGTGTGTGTGTGTGTGTGTGTGTGTGTGTGTGTGTGTGTGAAAGATACGTTGTTTGCTCAGGTGTAACAGGGCTCATCACAGATGGAAGTGAAAAAACAAACCCTGAGTAACCCAACAGAAATGGGACCCGTGATGGAAGAAAATCCCGGCATCTCATTTGCTTCTTCTGCATTAAACACGAGGTAACAGCACGTACATGCGTGAAAGCTGGAGACGGGGACGGTCACCCACTGGTGACGCAGCCACCCGAGAGGTCTAAATCAGTCGTAGCTCACTCAGCGATCACCGTGCAGCAGCGCAATACGAGGAAGTGCGCGTGCCCGTGAGCCGGTGCGTTTCTCTTCATTTCCTGAATCCCGCTCCTGAGATTCGCAACGACATGGGAGGCCCACGGACTCCAACCAAGTGAGGAGAAACTGGGAAATGAGGCGCGGAGGTAAGGGATCCTTCTTTCCACAGACACCCAGCGAAGTTCCTGTAAACTTTCTGCCTTTTGTGTTCTGCTGTCCGCAAACGAAACCGCGGACCTGCGAGTTTAGAAGTGCTGCTTCTAAACGCTGTGAGTTTAAAAAAGCTGTGAGTTTAAACAGAGGATACGATGCAAAAACGCTCAATAACGTTGAAACTTTCATTTTGTGGGGGTGATGCTGCAGCGTATAAACAACACCAGTGGACCTGCTTTCAGCTGCTGCTTTGTAAAATATCCATATTAGTATTTAATCGGACAGTATAGATTAAAAAATATATAGTATACATATAGTATGGTATATGTAGTAGGACCGTGTAGTATCACCTGAGAACAGGTGTACAACCCGCGATACGCTTCAAATCACCGGCGTGCGCTACCTTCCCTATGCTGCATTTAAGTGCGGTTGGAAAAACTTAACGGACACTACTGTGAAGAATCTCGGCCTTGTTTCACATCCAAACTGTACCCATGCAGTGAAGGGTTTATGCTTTATGGGCGAATGTACTGATTATATGTGAATGTATTCTGTGGGGACTATTCATAGTCAAAGGATGCTTTACCGCTTGCTGAAATGAAAATAAAGAAGGTAGAAGGTGAAGACGGGGAACAACTTGACCTTTGACTAAGGAGCCACAGTGCACCAGTAACAAATGTGCTTCATTGTGCAATGCCAGTAAGACAGGTGTTGCCTTTGTCACCCTCCGGGCATGAAAACTGTTAACATGTTTATCCCATACATACAGTTATATAAAGGAAACTGTTGACATGTCTCTGCAGACACATGCATGAAGCTGCCAGGATTTTGTATGTTTATATTTTGATAAGTTGGCACGGAGATCCAGACGACACTACTGTAACACTGATGGCGTTATATCAAGTTATCTTATCAGATGTTATTCGCAGTGTTATTCTGCATGTGTTTAAGGTTTTAGATTAGCGTTATGCATTTTGATGCATTAAACAGTCACATGAGACCAAAATAAGATGCCTCTTCTGCTCTGCCTCAACCCAGCTTTGTTTTTTGACTCGTTTTTGGTTCGAGCAGCAGTAACACGTGTCTGACGCACATCAAATGCCACCAGGAAGTCACCTGCTGGTTTCTGGACTCTGGCAGTTTGCTCAGATGCATCACACAGACACATACCTGCTGGTTCATGTTAAGTGACAGACTCTGAAATACTGAAGCATATTATTTGTCAGCTAATTCAACAAGGAGCCAATGTTGCGAACTCACTCAATGGGACGCTTGGCTAATGCAGCCTCACAAACAGGCCTCAGAAAAATCCAAACGAATGGCTTGGGTGAATTTTCACACCATGAACTTCTTAGAAACCGCTTCCCCCCCC